TCCCCATATTTCTCTGCTCCATCCCATATTCCCATCCCATGTCTCCATCCCCTGTCACTATCCTTGTGCCCATCCATGTCCTCATCTCAATCGGGGTCCTCTATCCCCATCCCCATCCCCATCCCATGCCCCTACCTCCTGTCCCCATCTCTTTCCCTATCCCTGTCCCTATCCCCAAACCCTATCCCTTGTTCCCATACCTTACCCCTATCCCCTGTTCCCATCCCATGTCCCCATCTCCAATCCCTATTCCCATCCCCATCCCATGTCCCTGTCTCCTGTCCCCATGCCCTGTCCCCATTCCATGTCCCTATCCCTGCCCCATCCCGAATCCCCCATTCCTTCTCCCCTATCCCATCCCCATCCCGGTTCCCCGTTACCCTCTCCCCATTCCCTCTCCCCTATCCCTATCCCGATTCCCCCATTCCCTCTCCCCCATCCCCATCCTGGTTCCCCCATTACCCTCTCCCCTTTCCCTCTCCCCCATCCCGGTTCCCCCATTCCCTCTCCCGTTCCCGCTCCCAGCCCCGCCCCTCCCGCCGTGGCCCCGCCCTTGGCCCCGCCCAGCCGCGGAGGCCCCGCCCCGCCCCGGAAGCGCTCCCAGCTCCTCAGTTCCGGTGGCGGCGGCGGCGGCAGCAGGTACGGACCGGGCCGGGCCGGGCTGAGCAAATACGGACCGGGCCGGGCAGGGTAGGGCAGAGCAGGGCAGAGCAAATACGGGCCGGGCCGGGGCAGAGCCGGGCCCCGCAGCCGCTCCTGGCCCGGGCGCCTCCCCCGAGCTCCGCCCGTGCGCACCCGGGACGGGCCCCCCGCCGGGGCTCGGGCCGCGCCGCGTCCTTCTGGCCCCGGGTCCCTCCCGGCTTCCGACCTGAGCTGGGCCACTCTGTGCCGCTCTGGGACCGGCGGTGTCCCCGCTGTGACCCCTGGCCCGGCCCCCGCCTCGCCCCGGGCCGTGTCCCCGGGCCGTGTCCCTGTTCTGACCCCGTGTCCCGGGCTGTGTCCCCTCCTCAGTCCGGGCTGTGTCCCCATCCTCGGCTCCTCAGTCCGGGCTGTGTCCCCCTCCCCCCCGGCTGGGGCACACGGGGGTCCCCCACCCCGCAGCCTTCCCGGGCCGTGTCCCGTGTCCCTCCTGTCCCGGCAGCTCCGTGTCCCAGCGCTGCCCTCCCGGCTCCGTCCCGCAGGGATGGCCCCGGGATCTGCTCCCCTCCCCGGCAGCCCCGGCACCGTGTCCGGGCCGCAGGCAGGGCCCCGACGGGCACCGCGCTGGGGGCAGGACCCCTGGAAGGGCTGGGGGACACGGGGTGAGCCCTTCACCCCCCTCAGGGCATGGCACATCCACAGGGAAAGGTCTTGGCTCTGCATGGAATAAGATGGGAACTGGGCATGGAGCAGACAGGGAGGCTGATATCCTGTGCTCACTGCCTCCTCCAGGGAGATTTTGGGGGGAAAAGCTCCAGAGTGGATAAAAAGGAGCTGTGAGACAGCTCCAGTCTGAGGGAGCCGTGCTGGAGGTGTTGCTGTTGTTGCAGGTAGTGTTTTGTGTGGAGTTCTGACACCTGTCAGGGGACCCATCCCCAGCAGCAATGGGGGCTCAGGTGGGGTTTTGTGTCTGCTTTCTCCAGGGGTGACAGAAAATGGGATAAGCCTGGGATGAGCAGTGGGACTGATGTGGTTTGTGGCTCCCACACCCTTTTGGGGCGTCAGACTGCCAGGCTGAACAGGCTGTGGCACCCCAAGGGGCTTTCCAGAGGTGTTGGGCCTTGCTTGGATCAAGCCAGGCTGGGAATTCCGAGGCAGGAGGTGTCCACCCTGCAGAACCTAGCTCTGCCAGGAGGAGAACATCCCCTCTGCCACGGGAACTTGATACTGTGGCCAGGACAAGGTCTTTGGTGTCCCTGCGCTCACTCAGCCGGAGTTTGGGGGTGCCTCCCGGTTGAAGGTGATGAACAGTCCCCCAGCTCTCAGAGCACGGCGCTCTGGGCTCTGTGGCAGTGGGATCCTGGCAGTGTGTGCTGCAGGGGACACCTCAGCATTGTCCTTTTTGCTTTTTCCTTGAGTTTATTCCCCACTTATTGGTTGATGGGATGTATTGCTTGCAGCTCATTTGCTGCTGCCATTGCTTTGGATCTGCCAATGATTTTTTGGATTTGCTTTGGGCACCTTGCTGATGGCTTAATGAGTTTGACTCCTACCCCTGAGTTATCCAAGTTATCCCTTGTTTGATGGAGCTGGAGCCTTTTGGAATGCCCATGGGTTGGTCAGAAACAGATTGGTGAGAGGATGGGATGGTCCTGGGTGGGATGCAGCAGAATCACAGCCCTGAGCTGCTGCAGGGCCGAGCTGGAGCAAAAACTGGCTCCAGTTAGGCCAGACAGGGGAAAAATATCCTACTGGGAAGGTGAGTGGGGCTGCTGGAGGGTTTGTGGTGGTGTGGCAGAGGTGGGATGAGCACTGGGATGGGAGCTGTGGGATGTGAGATGAGCCCAGGGATGGGAGCTGTGGGTGTAGGGTGGGAGACACTGCTGTGAGTAAGGAGGGAAGGACCTGGGATCAGCATGAGGCTCTGGAGCTGTTGGGTTGGGTATCCTCAGCCTCTGGTTCTCTTCTTGCACCCTGGGGTGTTTCTCCCCCTTGGCTGGTGTTTGTGGCAGCTCCTGGGGTTTGTCCATGGAGCAGGGATGTGCTCAGAGCTGTGCTGGTGTGGTTATGTTATTTTTTCTCTTTTATTCATGAATGGGATGGGACTGTTGGAGTGCATTTCTTGAGTTTTATTTGTAGTATTACCTTTATTCCATGGCTGAGACGATAGGAAGATGGTAAAGCTATGTACAGCTAGCAGCAGCTAAAGGTTTCTTTGTTACCGAATTTTAAAAACTTTTAGCTAATAGCATATTGCTAAAGTTTAAAGATAATCGTTCTAGCTAATTATTAGAAGTACATGTGTACTAGTTTCACACAATATTTGCTTTTCTTCTTTCTATTGATAATACACAGTACATTATTATTAAGTTTAAACCTTCTACTATCTTGCTAAGCATATTTTCATGTAGTCTTAAGGTCTATCTTAGCCAAGCTTAAGACTTAAGCTATTGTTTCATGGCCTTGCTTTGCTGTACTATTATAACTTTTCCACTTTCGGACTTTCTAACTGCGACTTAGCTCCAGGTTTTTTGTTCTTTCTGTTTCTGAGGCCTGTTTTTAACAGCTTTCTGGAAGCCTTCTTACCTTCTCTAATTCCCACAGGGAGCCATCACCACCTCACCCCTGCCTGGCCTCTGCAGTGCCCTGGAGCTGCCTCACACCAGCAGGGAACAGTTATGTGATTCCCCACGGCTCCAGTTACCCATTAATTTTTTAGTCTTCCTTAATTTCCCTAATTATGCCACCCTGACCCTTCATTGCCAACTGAGGAGTTGCCTTTCCCCACTAACCTCCAGCTCCCCCTGTTTTCCAGGGGAGCCCTTTCCTAGGAGCTTGTCCTTGGAGTTCCTGCTCATTTCTGCTCTCCCTGCCTTTAGGTGCCAGCTTGTCCCCTGTGAGCAGCAGGAATGTGTGTGCAGGGATGAACCTTCCCTTCCTTTTCTCTTCCCCTTCCCATTCCCCTGGAAAGACCTGGGAGCTGTGGTGGGCTGGGATAAGCAGGGATTTGGGATGTCTGGGCGCAGATTAAAGGCTGCATCCCAGCCCTGGCAGTGGCTCTGTGCTGGTGGAACTGAAAGTGACTCCCTTCCCACCCAAACCATTCCCTGGTGAAAGTCTCTGGTCAGCAGCATCTCAGCCTTCAAGGATGGAGGAATTATCCTAAAACAGTATGGTGAAAGTAGCAGAAGAAATGAGTTTTCCTGCACTCTCCATAAGAGGAAATGAGCAGCACCAGCAGTGGCTCATTTGGCATTGGAGTCATTCCCAGGACCCCCCTGGCAGAAGCCACCTCGGTGGGAAGCCCAGTGATGTATTTGTTGTTGTATTTTGGGTTTAGGAGCCTCTTATTTTCCCAAGGTAGCTGAATTTGGGAGGTGCTGGCATGGCAGTGGGAAAAATGGGGTGGCTGAGCTCTGCCATGTGCCTGACCTGGGGGCCTGAGAGGCTCAGGAGAGCAGCAGTGCTCTGGTTTGTGTGGAGCTGTGGATTTGAGTCCCCTGGAGTGAATAAAATCAGGGATAAAAGGCTTTGGGTTTGTGCCACTGCCAAAACTTGTCCCAAAACCAGACCTGAGGAGCCCAGACTGGTTATGGGGGGGCTCTGGGTGCTCCTCTCCAGCAGCTTCCAGATCCTTATGGACACTTAACTCCAGGAATCCTGTTTGCCAGACCAGTATAAATCAAATTTGGTGTGAAGATGGGGTAAAATCTGAGCCACCCCAAGGTCAGGGGTGATCTTGTCCTTTGCTTTGCTGCTTGCATCCTGCTTTTTGTGAGTGAGGAGCTGCTCCCCTCAGCCTGTCACTGGGAGATCAGTGTGGAAAGGAGCTGGGTGGGAATTGCTGGAGCTGAGGGAGCAAACACCTTCTCTCTGCATCCCTAAAAGCAGAGCCAGGCAGCAGCGCTGGCCCCTGCCCAAGGGCTGAGCTGTGGGAATTCACCTGCAGCTGGCAGCCAGCCCTGCCTTGTCACCCTGGCACAGCCTGGGGGACACACAGGGTGCAGGGTGCTGGGCACTGGGGTGTGGCAGCTGTTTGGGTCCCCTCTTCACCCTGCTGCAGCCCTGGGGTGCTTCCTGCCCTGGGGAAGGTTGTGTCGGTGTGAGGAGCGAGGGCTGCGCCTTCATGCCCGAGCTGGAGGAGCCACTTTCCTTCTTGGAGCTGCTGCAGAGCTTAAAGGGGTGGGGGAATGGATGTTGTCTCAGCCTCTGAGATCAGTGGGGTTTTTTCAGTGGGGTTGTGGATGGGAGAAGCAGGGGCTGTGCTTTCCCTGGCTCTGGGAGAGCAGGGAGCTGCAGGGAAGCGGCCGGTGTGATTCATGTCTGCGAGCTGCCTGCACAAATTCCCTGCTCAGCTTCAAGTTTGCTTTCCAGGCACTTCTGCAGAGCAGGGCTGAGTGTGAGCCAGGTCCTGGAATCGGAGGGACTGCAGTGCATCCTCTTTCTTTCCTTCCTTCCTTCCTCCCAGTCTGGCAGGACGGGATCTGCAGTGAGGTGCAGAGAGCTGTGGCGCAGCCCGGAGCTCCCGCTGTTCCCTGGAGAGCCATCGACTTAGTGGGATAAAAAAGGCTCTGAATCAATCCCAGGTAACTGAGGCAGGGAGGAGTGTCCTGTCTCATGAGGGGCAGGGCAGTGGGAGTGTGGTGCCAGGCTTCCCCCTCTGGAATAGCACCAGGATCATGGTGCCAGCCCCCAGAGCAGCCCCAAACCCATACAAACTCCTTCCCTCTCCCTCCCTGCCAAGCTGTGTGCTCTGCCCAGCCTGCTCAACCCCCAGATTTCATCCAGATATTCTTTTTATCCCTGCTGGGGATCCCTCTCCAGCTTGGACAGGGAACAGAGAACACAGTTCCTCTGTGCTCCTGCTGCGTTTGGCTTTTAAGATGCTCATTTGCATTTTAAACCCATCCGCAAGCTCTTTTTTTTTAATCTCTTTTTTTTTCCACTTGGCTTTCCTTCCTGTATTCCTGCTCCTCCAAAACAGCAAGGCCACTGCAGGCTTTCAAGGACGAGCCTCTGGTTCCTTCCCTGTTGAAGGAAAGATGGGAAAACCAGCCATAAAAGCCAAATCCCCGCTGACCTTTCTGAAGGGCTGCACATCTCCTTCCTCAGCCTGCCAAGCCCTAAATCTGCCCTAAACTGCCTGAATTATATAATGGAGCCTCAAGTGCTGGGCTGAAGCCTCACACCCTTGGAATTTAAAGCAAGCCTGCTGGAGCAGGGCTGGTTTGTGGGAGAGGCTCCCTTTGATCTGGCAGATCCGTGCCCCTTGGCTGTGCTGTCCCATTGAGCTGAGCCTCGGCTTTGGCTCAGTTCCTGTCCCCAGCCCAGTGCTGTTCCCTGTGTAGGTGAGAGGGAGGGCTGGGTGTGAGTTTTCCTTAAAAAAGCATTTTTTGGATGAGGAGACGACAATCCAGGGGGGATCACTGAGCCCCTGCTGCCCGGCTCTGTGTGGGATGGGATGAGCAAAGTCAGGGCTGCAGCCCTGGAATCTTCAGTGATTCTTTTCCTCCTCCACATCCTCTTTGGAGAACCCTGATTCCCCATCAGGGAACAGCTGATTCCCCATCATCACAGAGCTGCTAGGTGCTCACCCTCCCTTAAGGATTGGGCTCCTCCTTGTGAATCTTCCCATGAGATCCCAAACTCTTTCCCTCCCCTGGTGTTTTTCCTTCCTGGAGCTCTCTGTAACGATCCCTGCAAGGAAAATATCAGCCCTGAACCTCTGTGCTCTGCCTCTCCTCCAGGGCCGTGCTGCTGGCTGGAGACCACCATGACGGACTCCAAGTACTTCACCACCACCAAGAAAGGTAAGGGAAGGGCCAGGAATATCACAGTTCATCCCAAAATCACCAGCTGGTTCTTACTCCTGGTTTGTACTCTGGTATAAACCAGGTGGGGAGGATTGGGAAGCTCCTGTGGGAATGCCCTGAGTCCCCCTGGGATGTGGTGGCTGACACCCCACCCTGCTTCTTGCTCTGGAGCAGCTCCTGGGCTGCTGTGGGGTCAGGACACCTTGTCCCCAGCCCCCTGAGCCCGGCCAGGGCTGGTGGCAGCTGGTGATCGGCTTTAGCAGCTCAGGAGCTCCCCTGGGCAGTGCTCAGGGCCTTAAGCGCTCTCCAGACCAAGGAATTAATGTGGAGAGAAGCCATGTGGCATCTTCCTTTTCAATCTGCCAGCCCAGGAGGGAATAAGGAGCTCAGCGTGGCTCCAGGAGGGCAGGAGATGGTGCCCTGGGCTGGGGGGTTGCTGCCACAGACAGGGAGGGATTTGGGAGCCACCCTTCCTCGTATGGCCTTTAGGAGCAGTGCCCAAAATCCACCTGCCATCATCCCTGGGAAGGGTAGGGCCTCATGGGGCTGGGATACCCACCCCACAGGCAAAAATACCCTCTAGATAACCCCATCCAGTGCCTGTGGGGTGCTCCTGCACCTGCAGTGTCTCCCACCCCTGTGGGGCTGGAGGAGCCAGAAGGATTCAGCAGGAGGTGAATATTCTCCATTCCCGTGGATGAACATTCTCTGTTCCCATGGATGAGAGCTGAGCCCCCAGAGCAGCCCCAGCCTTGGGGGGTGTTGGGGAAGGTAAATCTCTCTTTTCAGGGGTGGCAGAGGAACCCTGTCACACAGCAGGTGGGATCTGTGCTCACCCAGCAGAGGAGTGGGGGTCTCCTTCCTCTAATCCCTGAGCTGCCACTTTTCCCATTTCTCCAGGGGAGATATTTGAGCTGAAGGCTGAGCTGAACAGCGACAAGAAGGAGAAGAAGAAGGAGGCTGTGAAGAAGGTGATCGCCTCCATGACGGTGGGCAAGGACGTCAGGTGTGTGCTGGGGCTGCAGCCTGGAATATCCTGAGTGGGAAGGGACCCACAGGGATCATCCAGCCCAGCTCCTGGCCCTGCCCAGACCCCCAACAACCCCACCCTGGGCATCCCTGGCAGCGCTGGCCAAAGGCTCCTGGAGCTCTGGCAGCCTCGGGGCCGTGCCCATTCCCTGGGGAGCCTGGGCGGTGCCAGCACCCTCTGGGGGAAGAGCCTTTCCCTGAAATTTACCCTAAACCTCTCTTTCATGCTGTTCTCCCACGTGCCCAAGCCAAACCCAGCTGGCTTTTGGGTTCCCTTTTCCCCCTGTTGCTTCCAAGGGGGTTTCCGTGCTGCTTTTCCCCTTGGGATTCACCCAGGTACGTCCTGGCTGCAGCTCTGCCTCCTGGAGTGCAGTTTATGTTCACGTGGCCACCTGGCAGGTGGGGGCTCTCCTGGCTTTTGTTGTAATCTGGCTAAAAGAGGATTGGTCTGGCTGCCAGATCAGTTTGTTGGGATTATTCCCACTTCCTTTGTGTGTTACTAAAAACAAGCAGGACCCCCTTGGACGGTTGGTGGCGGTGCCTGGATGCTGATAAACTCTTTACAGCCTCTCCAGTCCAAAAGGTCAGGCAGCTGCTCTGTTCCTGCTTCCCTTTTTCCATCTGGCTGAGCTGCATGTGGCTCCTTCCGTGCCTTTTCCTGCATGGACCTGTCCCAGCACAGGCAGCATCAGCAATTTGATTTTCATGGTGCATTTGAGAGCAAATGGAGGGAAAACACACTCAGGGTTGGGAGAACTGGGGCATCCCTGGCTCCCAGAGCAGCAGCAGCAGCAGCTGGGAGTGTCCATCTTGAAACCACTGTGGAAATCACATGGAAATGGCAGGAGCTTCCAGTACTTGAAGAGGCTTAAAAAAAGAGGGAGAGCAGCTTTTTACATGGACAGATAGTGACAGGCCAAAGGAGAATGGCTTTAAACTAAAAGAGATTTAGATGGGATATTGGGAAGGAATTGTTCCCTGGGAGGGTGGGCAGGCCCTGGCACAGGGTGCCCAGAGCAGCTGTGGCTGCCCCTGCATCCCTGGCAGTGCCCAGGGCCAGGCTGGACACTGGGGCTTAGAGCACCTGGGATACTGGGAGGTGTCCCAGCCCATGGCAGGGGGTAGAACTTGATAAGTTTAGAGATTCCATGATTCCCAAGCCATTCCATGATCCTGTGGCTGTGTCAGCCCGTTCTTTTGGCGTGTGCCTGTTCCAGGCTGCAGGGAAGCAGTTTGCTGAGCTCACTGCTCCCCAGGAGGTGCCAGCAAAGCCCGGTTTAGCCCGGGTGAGACCAGCCCAGGTGGGCAGCAGCTTTGCAAAGCCCAATTCCCTGGATTTAAGGAGCCCCTGGGTTTCATCCTGTCAGGGCTGGCTGGTTTGTAGAGGTGGAGAAGCTTCCAGGAGCCTTGGGACATCTGTCAGGGTGGAATAACTCCTGTGTTAGCCCTGGGATCTTGATTGCCTCCCCTGAGGTGGTTTAATTGTCTAATTGCTCTGTCTTTGAATGAAACAGCATCTCTGGTACCCCACAGCTCCAGGATGTTTGGGAAGCCCCAGCTCTGTGCAGGCACATCCACTGCATTCCCCTCCATCCCAGCAGAGTATCCTGGTGCTCCAGACTCACCCAGGGGAGTGGGGCTCTTCCTTTGGGCACCATCCTGTGATGATGCATAGAATCCTGGAATATCCTGAGTTGGAAGGGATCCACGAGTCATCCAGTCCAGCTCCTGGCCCTGCACAGACACCCCAACAGCCCCACCCTGTGCCTGAGAGAGTTGTGCAGCACCTTCTCCTGGGGCAGTGGATGTTCCCTGGAGCAGGGATGCAGCAGAGCCATGTGGGAAAGCTCAGTTTTGGTCCATCAAGGGCCGGTTTTGATACAGATCTGTTAAAAAAATCCACTGGGGATGGGCAGTTCAGCCAGGCCTGCTGCAGGGTGGGCTCAGGTCATGAAATAATGGAATCATGGAATGGTTTGGATGGGAAAAGGTCCTTAAAGCCCAGCCAACACCCTGCCATGGGCAGGGACACTTCCCACTGTTCCAGGCTGCTCCAAGCCCCAATGTCCAGCCTGGCCTTGGGCACTGCCAGGGATCCAGGGGCAGCCACAGCTGCTCTGGGCATCCTGTGCCAGGGCCTGCCCTCCCTCCCAGGGAACAATTCCTAATTCCCAGTATCCCATGTGACCCTGCCCTCTGGCAGTGGGAAGCCATTCCCTGTGTCCTGTCCCTCCATCCCTTGTCCCCAGTCCCTCTCCAGCTCTCCTGGAGCCCCTTCAGGCCCTGCAAAGGGCTCTGAGCTCTCCCTGGAGAGCTCTCTCCTCTCCAGGTGAGCACCCCCAGCTCTCCCAGCCTGGATCCCAGGAGAGGGCTGGTATTTGCTGGCTTTGGGAGCAGGTTGTCCATGGGAAGGGGGATCCATGGGCAGTGTGGCTGTGTCCTGCCTTCACTGAGCTCTCTGTGTTCCAGCGCTCTCTTCCCAGATGTGGTGAACTGCATGCAGACAGACAACCTGGAGCTGAAGAAGCTGGTCTACCTCTATCTGATGAACTATGCTAAGAGCCAGCCAGACATGGCCATCATGGCTGTGAACACCTTTGTGAAGGTGAGGGCACAGGGCTCCGTGTCCCAGGGCACAGGGGACACCACGTGCCAGCTCGCCGCGCCAGGCTGCAAATCAGGGAGTGTGGGCAGCTTTCCAAAGCCTCTCCCTTCTGGAGGAGGGGCTCTGCAAGCTCTAGAAAACTGATTGAATTTGTCCAGTAATGCAGCAGCTCCATTTTTGGCAGCTGTCCTGTGCCACTCGCTCTGTCAGGAGCGTGGGCAGCTCCCATGATCGAGAGCTGTCATGTGAATTTATGGGCTGAGAAATCCCTTGTGATCTTCCCACTGGAGCTGGGAACTGAAGAATATGTTAGGAACCAGGATATTGCCAAATCACTCAGTGAAAAGGCCTGGTGGGCTTTAGAGGGAGTTCAGGCTTTTCAGGGAGGATAAACCCCACGTAATAATCCCAATATCCGTTTCCAGCATCAGGTTGGTTCAGGTACCTGGTGTAAGTGATGAGGACATGAGATTCCTGGATGGATTGAGGAGTTGTGTGAGTGAGGATTGGTGGTGTTGGAGCTCAGTGGGTGCAGGACAAGAGAGAGATTTCTCTTGGGTGACTTATTCTCAAGAGCAGAACATGAAAACCGTGGGATTTGAACCTCCTGGAAGACCTGAACCCCCTGGAGACAGCTGAGGAGCCCAGGATATCCTGTGGCATTCACATTCTCTGAAAAAATTCCTTCGCCCAGGGTTTTTCTCCTGGGAAGGTGAAAGGCAGCAAGAGGCCTCAGAGAAAAGAAAAACAATTCTCATCTCATTTGCTTCTCCTGTGTTGTGCTCGTGTGGAATGGGTTTGGAGATTGTTTACCCACAGGTGATTGTTTCACTGGATTCTGGTGTGAGTTGTTTGACTCATTGGCCAGTCGGGGCCAAGCTGTGTTGGGACTCTGGAAAGAGTCACGAGTTTTCATTATTATCTTTTTAGCATTAGGTAAGTATCTTTTCTGTTTTCTGCAATATAGCATAGTATTCTTTAACATAACGTAGTACCATAAAGTAATAAATTAGCCTTCTGAGAACATGGAGTCAGATGCATCATTCCTGCCTTCGTCGGGGCCCCTTGATTCCAGTACCATCCAGCCTCCCCTGTTCCCTGCAGGACTGTGAGGATCCCAACCCGCTGATCCGGGCTCTGGCCGTGCGCACCATGGGCTGCATCCGCGTGGACAAGATCACGGAGTACCTGTGCGAGCCCCTGCGCAAGTGCCTCAAGGACGAGGACCCCTACGTGAGGAAAACTGCAGCCGTCTGCGTGGCCAAGCTGCACGACATCAACGCCCAGCTGGTGGAGGACCAGGGCTTCCTGGACACCCTCAAGGATCTCATCTCAGACTCCAACCCCATGGTGATTGCTTTTTGCCTTCTCCGCTTCCTCTTCGTCCAAATGGCAGTCACCGCTGATGCATCATTCCTGCCTTCGTCGGGGCCCCTTGATTCCAGTACCATCCAGCCTCCCCTGTTCCCTGCAGGACTGTGAGGATCCCAACCCGCTGATCCGGGCTCTGGCCGTGCGCACCATGGGCTGCATCCGCGTGGACAAAATCACCGAGTACCTGTGCGAGCCCCTGCGCAAGTGCCTCAAGGACGAGGACCCCTACGTGAGGAAAACTGCAGCCGTCTGCGTGGCCAAGCTGCACGACATCAACGCCCAGCTGGTGGAGGACCAGGGCTTCCTGGACACCCTCAAGGATCTCATCTCAGACTCCAACCCCATGGTGATTGCTTTTTGCCTTCTCCGCTTCCTCTTCGTCCAAATGGCAGTCACCGCTCTCCCATCGTGTTCCTTCCTTCCTTCCTTCCATCCTCCCAGACTCTATGTTTGATGTTAACAAATCTGTTCTCCCATGTGCCCTCCACTTTCGGGGAGTTTTTGCTTCTCAGAACTGCAGGCTGTGTTCCCTGCCCCATAACCCTGTGTCCTGGACAGAGGGTTTCTCCATCCCCTGGCTGTGTGTTATTACTCCCCAGTTCCCAGTGGGAAGGAGGCTGCTCCAGGTGGCTCAGGGCAGAGGGAAGCTGCTGCTTGGTTCTGATACCACAGAGCCAGTGGCTTTTGCCTCTGGTTTTCCTGGCAGCTTGGCTTTGGCTTCTCTCCCTTTCCCCGGGCATGGGGAACTTTAAAACCATCTTTCCCCAGGGTTTCTCTTCCCACAGCCTTTCCTGCTTTTCCAGTCTTACCCTGGGCATAGTGTTGAGCCCAGAAGCTGTGTGGAAAGCTCTGGGGCTCCTCAGAGCTGCCTGGGGAAGGGAAGGGAGCTGGGCACAAAGCCAAGGCTGACTCTGTGGAACACGTGGGAGTCGTTGGAGATGCAGCGTGGGCGGTGGGAGCGGCTCATCCCTCCCCCTCAGATCTGCTGTGGGGAGGGAGAAGCGGGATCCCAGATGTTGGTGGGATGTGAGGGGTTCGTAGTGAGGAGGCAGCTCATCCCCTCACACCACATTTGGTGTCACCAATCCGTGTCCTGTCCCCCCCCCGGCAGGTGGTGGCCAACGCGGTGGCGGCACTGTCGGAAATCGCGGAGTCTCATCCCAGCAGCAACCTCCTGGACCTCAACCCCCAGTCCATCAACAAGCTGCTCACAGCCCTCAATGAGTGCACTGAGTGGGGCCAGATCTTCATCCTGGACTGCCTGGCAAACTACATGCCCAAGGATGACCGGGAAGCACAGAGGTGAGGGGACAGGCAGGGCTTGGCACTGCCCCTTCTCCTCTGAGGAGAGTCTTCATCCTCCTGACCCTGCTGCAGGAGGTGGGACAGCGGGCATCTGCTGGAGCTGTGCCTTGGGCATGGCCATCTGGAGCCTGCTCTGGTCCCGTAGAGATCCCTGGCACTGGGATTATGCTCCTTGAGCTGCTTAAAATGTGGCTGCAGGGGACAGTGGGCACCAGGGAGCTCCAAAACGGGGTCACTGCCAGAGGGTTCTGCAGGGCCTGGGGAATAACCTTCACTGGGGCATTCAGGAGCCAGTTCAACCTCTTTGGGAAGGTCCCAAGCACCTCTCAGCTTTCCTGCAAGTCCTTCCTCCATGCTGGCAGGAGTTTCACAGCAGAAGGAAGGGTTGGGATCATTTCCTTTCCCTCCTTGCCCCGGCAGCATCTGCGAGCGGGTGACACCGCGCCTGTCCCACGCCAACTCTGCCGTGGTGCTGTCGGCTGTCAAGGTGCTGATGAAGTTCATGGAGATGCTGTCCAAGGACCTGGATTATTATGGCACTCTCCTGAAGAAGCTGGCCCCACCACTGGTTACTCTGCTGTCTGCAGAGCCCGAGCTGCAGTACGTGGCCCTACGCAACATCAACCTCATCGTGCAGAAGAGGTGGGTGTGCAGGTGTCCCCTCTTAGCCACAGGTGCTTCAATCCCTCTGACTGCAGCAGTGTCACAACACATCCTGTAGGGTGTTTTCTTCTCTGTTATTTAAAATCCAAGGAGAATCTTGGAATGGTTTGGTTGGGAGGGATCTTAAAGCTCATCTCATCCCATCCCCTGCCATGGGATGTTTTGCACTAGACCAGGTTGCTCCAATCTGGCCTTGAGTCAGTCAGGTGAGGGAATGAGCAGGGAGCTAAGCTGGGATCTCCAGTTTAATGTATCCTTTAGTTTATTCTTTATTTGGGGCAGCAAAGAGTGGCAAAGCCAAAAGCTGTGAGACTTTAGAGTAGTCCCTCCGTGTCTAGGGAGGGATTTTTGTGCTGCCAGCTGCTTTCTCCACAGGTGTTCTCTTTGAACAAGTGCTCAGAGTCCTTTTGTCCCTTTGCTGATCTAAAATCCTGGAGGTGGCTGAGGCCCCACACGTGTGCCTGGAGCAGGAGTGGCAGCTGGAGAGCCCCAGCCCAGTCAGATGATTTGTTCTCCTCCCAGTCAGCGCCGTGGTCGTCTCTTAAAAATAGCAGCAATTTCTGGGAGAAGTGGAAAGCAATTAGTGTCCCTGGGAGTGGGAATGTGGAAGGCAGCTTGGAGTTGGACCTGGCCTAGCTCTTTCCCAGCTTAGAGAGAGGGTGAGCTGGTGAGAAAGGTCCAGCCTAGCCCTGGGGTCTGGATTTGTGTCCCTGCTCCCACTAAAACATCCCTTCCAGCCTTGGCAGGACAAACGTCCCCTGTTGCCTCACGTCTGGCCCGTGTTTGTGACAAGGTTGTGCTGTGTCCCCTACGTGCCAGCAAAGGGGGGCCAAGGGACAGAATCCTGGGGGATAACCACGGTGACTTGGATTCCTTGGCATTTAGTAGGCCCCCAAAACCTTGGGATTGGGGTGGGAGTGAGTGCCTGTCCCCCCTAACGCTGCCTCTTGCTGCTCCAGGCCCGAGATCCTGAAGCACGAGATGAAGGTGTTCTTTGTCAAGTACAACGACCCCATCTACGTCAAACTGGAGAAACTGGACATCATGATCCGCCTGGCCTCCCAGGCCAACATAGCTCAGGTCAGGAGCTGGGCTGGGCCACCCAGGGCTACCCCAGTGCCAGCCCCAGCTCTGTGGGACACGGTCTGGAGTGGCTGTCCCACCCCTCTGCTCGTGCTGGGTCACTGCCCCGCTCTCCCAGTGGCTGTGCCTTGCTGCCAGGCTCTCACTGTGCTGTGTCCCTCTCTCCTGGTGGCTGTGCCTTGCTGCCAGGCTCTCACTGTGCTGTGCCACCCCTCAGGTGCTGGCAGAGCTGAAGGAATATGCCACAGAGGTGGATGTGGATTTTGTCAGGAAGGCGGTGAGAGCCATCGGCCGCTGTGCCATCAAGGTGGAGGTGAGGGCTGGGGCACTGTGGGGCCTTGTGACACCTGTGGGTGGGCAGGGTGGCACTTTCCAGCACATGGTGGCCATCTCATCCAGGAATTTGCGAGCTGGAGCCTTCCCAGGTGTGGGGATGAGCCATGGTTGTTCCACAGGGATCAGGGGGGTGCCAGGAGGATCTTCCATCCCCTTATCCTTTGCAACTGGAGCTGCTTTAGGATCCCTGCCTAGAACAGAGCCAGGAATGCAGTGGGTGATGCCAGTGGCTTGTTGGGGGCCAGAGTGGGACTGGGAGGGAGCTGATCCCTTCCTGGGAGCTGGGAGGGAGCTGATCCCTCCCTGAGGGGCTGGGAAGGTCCCAGTCATTTTGCGGAAGGCTGGCTAGGAGCCAATCCCTTCCCGAGGGGCTGGGAGGGAATCCATCCCTTCCTGAGGAGCTACTCAGAGACTTTGCTTCCCTGTGGGGATAATTTTCCAAAGGGGATTGTTAAAAACCTCCCTGGAAAGGTGGCTCTGCATGGCTGGAATGCTTCCCATGGGAAGAGAGGAGCCTGTGTGGATGTGCAGAGAGTATGAGGAGGAGGCACACCAGGATGTGAAGGGCAGACCACACTGTGTCCCCTGTTGCGCTGTGGGGGGGATAAGTGGTGGCTTTGGGATGTGAGGGGGGGCTGTCCCTGTGTGACCCAGTCCCTCTGGCAGCAATCAGCTGAGCGCTGTGTCAGCACCCTGCTGGACCTCATCCAGACCAAGGTCAACTACGTGGTGCAGGAGGCCATCGTGGTCATCAAGGACATCTTCCGCAAGTACCCCAACAAGTGCGTGGGGACTCCCTGGCATGTGGGTTCTCCGGGGTGCTCCTGGTCCTACCTGAGCTCTTCCCTCCCCTCTGTCCTTGGGGGGCCACAAGCTCTTGGTGGGATGAAGCCCCCGGAGCCTCCCCCCAGCACAGGTGGCTTTGGGTTTTTTTGTCCCCAGCCTCAGGATGGTGGCAGTTCCACATCCAGGCACTGAAATGGAGAGGAGCTGCCAGGGAAGTGCAGGTCCCTTGTGTCAGCAGAAACTGTCCCTGGCTCTCAATCCAGCTCCTGGTGCTGGAACAAGGGCAGCAGGAGGAGAGGAGAGGGGAGGGAATGTTCCAGCTGAGCCAGGATGAATAGGCAACTCTGTAATCAGGAAGTCGGGGACTAATAGTGGTAATAAATACTAATGAACTGAATTGGTAACGAGCAGAGCTCTGCAGGAGTAGCTGGTGGCTCTGGGTTCATTCAGGAGCAGGGAATGTGCTCTGGGATCAGTGTGGGCACTGCCCATGGAGCGAGGGGACAGCCCCAGGCAGGGTGCCCTCAGCCACAGCTCTGCAGTGGGCAGTGGGACGGAGTTTGGGTGGATCAGGATTCGTGTCTCCTGCTCTCGGTGAGCTGACTCCTGCTCTCCTCCCCTGGGGAAGGTACGAGAGCGTGATCGCCACGCTCTGCGAGAACCTGGATTCCCTGGACGAGCCCGAGGCCAGGGCTGCCATGATCTGGATCGTGGGGGAATACGCCGAGCGCATCGACAACGCCGACGAGCTGCTGGAGAGCTTCCTGGAGGGCTTCCATGATGAGAGCACCCAGGTGTGCCAGGGGACCTGCTGCCTCGGGGTGGCACTGGGACAGAGCTCCCAAGTGGAGCAGGGGACAGTTTGCTCTGCAGGGATTGTTCGTGCAGGTGCTTGGCGCAGGTTGGGTGTAGGATGTAGTCCAGCCTTGGAGTAACCTGGCAGAGTGGAAGGTGTTCCTGCCCATGGCAAGAGGGGGAATGAGATGGGATTTGAGGTCCCTTCCAGTCCAGGCTGTTCCATGGTTCTGTGAACTGCCATCATAGCGTTGTCCCAAGTGCCTTCCCTGTTCCATGGTTGGGAGGCACCAGGCAGTGACCTGGTTGTCCCACTGTGCCAGCACAGGATCCCTGTGGAGCTGGAAAATGAGCAGGGGGAGCAGTGCCTGCCCTGTTGCCCAGAGCAACTGAGGCCAGTGGGTTTGCCTGTGGAATTTTGGAGGGTTTCCAGCTCTGGAAAACTCTGCAAAACACCCTGTAACCAAGTGACAGTGAACAGGGCAAAGTCTGCAAATGCTGAGTAGCAAAGCCAGAGATCCAGGCTCCCTGAGAGGCTGGGAGGGGAATTCCTGCTGCTTATCCATGTGGAAGTCAAGGGATGCTCTGGCCTGTGCCCTGTAGGACTGTGTGACCTGCTCCCAAGATCCTGCCCCATGATGCTGGGGTCAGCCTGTGTCTGAGGGTGTGGAAATGGGCTGGAAAGGGCCTGGGTGAGGTGCCCTGATATGTGTCACTGCCACTGACATGGTCACCGTGCCTTTGGTCCCTTGAAAGGAAAGTTGAGATTAGGTCCTGGGGCAAATCCATGTGTTCCTGCGCGAACACAGTGTGACCTGTCTGTCTGTCTGTCCCTCACCCTGTCTGTCCCCCACAGGTGCAGCTGCAGCTGCTGACAGCCATCGTGAAGCTGTTCCTGAAGAAGCCCACAGAGACACAGGAGTTGGTGCAGCAGGTGCTGAGCTTGGCCACACAGGTGGGTCACACCTGGGAGAGCTTCCAAGGGCTTCCCATCCCCCCAGAAGTGGAATAGCCTGATCATGTGAGCAGGCAGGTAATTGGAGCTTAGTTCAGAATGGTTTGGGTTGGAGGAACCTTAAGGATCCCCTTGTTCCAGCCTGCAGGGACACATTCCACTATCCCAGGTTTCTCCAAGCCCAATCCAACCTGGCTTTGGACACTTCCAGGGGTCTAGGGGCAGCCACAGCTGCTCTGGGCACCCTGTGCCATGGCCTGCCCACCCTCCCAGGGAACAATTCCTTCCCAATATCCCATCCATCCCTGTCCTCTGGCAGGAGTTACATGGGCAGGGTCTCCCTCCCCTACCCACACCCTCTCAAACACCAGCAAACCACCCAAACTCAACACCAATTTTCCCAAATCCATAACTCCTTACCACTTCAACAACACCCATAACTCTGCTTCTCAAACAATCAATCACTTTCCACAGCACTGTTCCACAAAAATTCCTCAAAGACTTAGTAACCCAACTCAGAAACACAAGGAAGCCATTCCCTGTGTCCTGTCCCTCCATCCCTTGTCCCAAGTCCCTCTGGGAATGCTGACACTTGAAAGCCTGGAGAGTGTGGACACTCCCATGGCTCAGGACGCACCTTGTGGCCTCTTTGATCCCTGTGGTCCCTCCCAGCAAGGCTTAGGTGGGGAAAGCAGCTCTGAGTATCTCTGTGGTAGCTGTAGTTGCTCTGAACAGCTCTGTGGTAGCTGTAGTTGCTCTGAACAGCTCTGTGGTAGCTGCAGTTGGTCTGAACAGCTCTGTAGTAGCTGCAGGTGCTCCGAGTACGTCTGTAGTAGCTGCAGTAGCCCTGAACATCTCTCTAGTAGCTGCAGTTGCTCTGAGTATCTCCGTAGCAGCTGCAGTTGCTCTGAGCAGCTCCGTAGCAGCTGCAGCTTCCCAATGGCTTCCCAAAGGACTCGGACAACCCCGACCTGCGGGATCGTGGCTACATCTACTGGCGCCTGCTCTCCAATGGCGTTGTCCCAAGTGCCTTCCCTGTTCCATGGTTGGGAGGCACCAGGCAGTGACCTGGTTGTCCCACTGTGCCAGCACAGGATCCCTGTGGAGCTGGAAAATGAGCAGGGGGAGCAGTGCCTGCCCTGTTGCCCAGAGCAACTGAGGCCAGTGGGTTTGCCTGTGGAATTTTGGAGGGTTTCCAACTCTGGAAAACTCTGCAAAACACGCTGTAACCAAGTGACAGTGAACAGGGCAAAGTCTGCAAATGCTGAGTAGCAAAGCCAGAGATCCAGGCTCCCTGAGAGGCTGGGAGGGGAATTCCTGCTGCTTATCCATGTGGAAGTCAAGGGATGCTCTGGCCTGTGCCCTGTAGGACTGTGTGACCTGCTCCCAAGATCCTGCCCCATGATGCTGGGGTCAGCCTGTGTCTGAGGGTGTGGAAATGGGCTGGAAAGGGCCTGGGTGAGGTGCCCTGATATGTGTCACTGCCACTGACATGGTCACCGTGCCTTTGGTCCCTTGAAAGGAAAGTTGAGATTAGGTCCTGGGGCAAATCCATGTGTTCCTGCGCGAACACAGTGTGACCTGTCTGTCTGTTTGTCCCTCACCCTGTCTGTCCCCCACAGGTGCAGCTGCAGCTGCTGACAGCCATCGTGAAGCTGTTCCTGAAGAAGCCCACAGAGACACAGGAGTTGGTGCAGCAGGTGCTGAGCTTGGCCACACAGGTGGGTCACACCTGGGAGAGCTTCCAAGGGCTTCCCATCCCCCCAGAAGTGGGAATAGCCTGATCATGTGAGCAGGCAGGTAATTGGAGCTTAGTTCAGAATGGTTTGGGTTGGAGGAACCTTAAGGATCCCCTTGTTCCAGCCTGCAGGGACACATTCCACTATCCCAGGTTTCTCCAAGCCCAATCCAACCTGGCTTTGGACACTTCCAGGGGTCTAGGGGCAGCCACAGCTGCTCTGGGCACCCTGTGCCATGGCCTGCCCACCCTCCCAGGGAACAATTCCTTCCCAATATCCCATCCATCCCTGTCCTCTGGCAGGAGTTACATGGGCAGGGTCTCCCTCCCCTACCCACACCCTCTCAAACACCAGCAAACCACCCAAACTCAACACCAATTTTCCCAAATCCATAACTCCTTACCACTTCAACAACACCCATAACTCTGCTTCTCAAACAATCAATCACTTTCCACAGCACTGTTCCACAAAAATTCCTCAAAGACTTAGTAACCCAACTCAGAAACACAAGGAAGCCATTCCCTGTGTCCTGTCCCTCCATCCCTTGTCCCAAGTCCCTCTGGGAATGCTGACACTTGAAAGCCTGGAGAGTGTGGACACTCCCATGGCTCAGGAGGCACCTTGTGGCCTCTTTGATCCCTGTGGTCCCTCCCAGCAAGGCTTAGGTGGGGAAAGCAGCTCTGAGTATCTCTGTAGTAGCTGTAGTTGCTCTGAACAGCTCTGTGGTAGCTGCAGTTGGTCTGAACAGCTCTGTAGTAGCTGCAGGTGCTCCGAGTACGTCTGTAGTAGCTGCAGTAGCCCTGAACATCTCTCTAGTAGCTGCAGTTGCTCTGAGTATCTCCGTAGCAGCTGCAGTTGCTCTGAGCAGCTCCGTAGCAGCTGCAGCTTCCCAATGGCTTCCCAAAGGACTCGGACAACCCCGACCTGCGGGATCGTGGCTACATCTACTGGCGCCTGCTCTCCACGGACCCCGTGGCCGCCAAGGAGGTGGTGCTGGCCGAGAAGCCGCTGATCTCGGAGGAGACGGATCTGATCGAGCCCACGCTGCTGGACGAGCTCATCTGCTACATCGGGACGCTGGCCTCGGTGTACCACAAACCCCCCAGCGCCTTCGTGGAGGGCAGCAGGGGCGTCGTGCACAAGAGTTTGCCCCCGCGGACGGACTCGTGAGTGTTGCCGTGTCCCCACCCCGTGCTGGGATTTCCAGGGCTGTGGATGGAGGGGTTGGATGTGGGGCTGCTGTGGGGCCGCTGTGCTCAGAGCTGAGCCCCCATCCCCAAGGGAGGTTCTGTAGGAGCAGGGCTGTGTGGGTTCAGCCCTGGCCTTAAAAAGCTGAAGGAGTGATGCCGGTGGAGGTGATCTCCACTGGCATTGTAGAGATTGCCAAGTGATTCCCAGTGATCTCTATGGGCATGTGTTGGGAGCCAGGATGGCATGGGGGGGGATCTTGCTTGCCATTGAAGTGTTGGGAGGCAGGATGGGATAGAGGGTTCAACTGGGCCAACTCCTGTCTGCAGTGGGACCTCCTGTCCCAGCTGGAGCTCCTCACCCTCTCCCATCATTCCCTTCAGGGGTGAGAGTCCTGAGAGCCCGGACACAGCCCCGTCGGGGGGGCCAGCAGCAGATCAGCCCTCTGTCATCCCCACCCAGGGGGACCTGCTTGGGGACCTGCTCAACCTGGACCTGGGCCCCCCAGTGAGCGGGCCACCCATGGCCACCTCCGCCGTGCAGATGGGCGCTGTGGACCTCCTCGGGGGTGGTCTGGACAGGCTGGTACGTCCCAGCTCCTGTGCTCCTTCCCTGGTTCCAGGCTGTCCCATTGGCATCCTGCTGGGCTTGATGCTGGTTCTGGTCTGGGATAGGACAGACTTGTCAGCCTGGGGACATCTGGGCTGGTCCTTTCCTGCAGTGGTAGGGACAGAGGGCACTGAACCCTCATTTATCCTGCCATTATCCAGTGGAGGGGAGGGGTTCCACCCACCACTTCCCTGTGCCTTTTCTCTCTGTTGGTGTGGATGTTCCCCTCTCTGTATGCTGTGCTGCAGGCGTGGCTGCTCCTGGGGGCCCCTCTCTGACCCCCAAACTGCTGCAGGGCTGGGCCAGGATGTGGCCACTCCCCGCCTGTGGGGTGTCCCCTGTGCCAGGAGATCTGGAGGTGACAGTGTGTCCTCCAGGGAATGCAGGCCAAGCAGTGGTTTGGCCTCGGGGTGAGGCAGGATGGAAACCTCTCCCTGTGTGGGAACACCTGCCCTGTGGGTGCTGGAGGTGGGCCAGGCTCCCTGAAGGAATAGAGTTTGGAGTTTCCTCCATGACTCATGAAATCCAGCCGATTTATCCCAAGGGGGGACAGCCTTGCTGCCTTTCCTGTTTTGTAACCCTGCAAGTGCTGCCCTGGCACCTTGTGGCTCCCAGGGATCGGTGATAGGCTGGCACTGAGGCTGGGAATGAGGTCTGGCTCTGTCCACTGTCCCCAGGACAGCCATGGACAGACAGATGTGTCAGGACTAACCTCTGTCCCCTCCTCCCCTTCTCTTCTCTCTCTCTTTTTGTCTCTTCTCTCCTGGCTTCTCTCTGCATGTGGCTGGCTCTTCTCTCCACCTTGCCTGCTTCTGCTTGGAGATGGGGGACGAGTCGGAAGGGGTATGGATCACCCTCTGCCCAGCCCCTGCCCCCTGGCTGCCCCTGCTGCCCCCAGCCCCAGGGACACCTCACCTCCCTCTGGGGACAGCCATGGCCCCTCACAGCTCCTGGTCTGGGACCACTGGAGCATCCCAACTAGAGGCCCTTGCTGCCCCACTCTGCTGCTTCCAGGGAGTGTCCAGAGGGGACGTTTTGGGGACCCCTGTGCCCTCAGCCCTGCCCCTGCTGATGCCCCTTTCTTCTCTTGCAGCTGCGCAGCGATGTGGGAGGCAGCCCTGCTGTGAGTGTGCCCTCACACCCAAACCCTCTCGTTCTCTGCATCCTCTTCCTCTTCTTCCTCCTCCTGTCCCCTTCCCCCTGGTGCCCCCTGTAACCCCTCCCTTGTCCCCACAGATGGGTGGCAGCAGTGGCAGCTTCACACCAGCTCCCAGCACCACGGCGCCCACAAACATGGGGGCACCCCTTGGCAGCGGCCTGGGTGACCTCTTCGACCTCACCGGTGGGGTGGGGACCCTCTCAGGATCCTATGTGGCCCCCAAAACGGTGAGTGGGGCCAGCCAAGCTCAGGGTTAAGGGAGGCACAGACCCCCCCTTGCCCACCCCCCACAGCAGAGCCCCCCTGGAGGAGGTGGGGGAGCACCAAGGCTCTGCTTTGGGTGACACCCCAAGGGTTTCTTGTCTCCCTGGCCCAGGTCTGGCTCCCTGCCATGAAAGCCAAGGGGTTGGAGATCTCTGGCACCTTCAGCCGCCAGGTGGGCTCCATCTCCATGGACCTCGTGCTGACCAACAAAGCCCTGCAGGTCATGTCTGACTTTGCCATCCAGTTCAACCGCAACAGGTGAGTCCCACCTGGGCTGGGTCACCTGGGACCCGTGGAGATGCTGCCTGGAGCAGTTTTGTGTGGAAAAGGGCATGAGGAAGGAGCTGCAAGGGCTGGGAACAGCCTCTGGTGATGACCCTTCTCTCTCTGATGGCTGTGGTGGTGATGAGCATCAAACCAAAGCCTCTAAGAAGTTGGCTGAAGAGGCCGTTCCTCAGGGTCCGACTGTTGTCCTCTTGGTTGTCCTGGGAAACCAATGCTTCCTTTTCCCTCAAAGGCACTGAGGAAATGCTGCAGGAATGCTACACATGGGTGGAGGAGGAAGGGAGGAGATTTGGGCTTGCCCCAGGGTGGGCAGGGCAGGAACCAGCCCCGTGCTGGACAGCTCAGGGGGCAGCGAGGCGATTCCTGGGATGCCCGTGGAGGAAGGCAGGGAGTGCCAGGCTTGGATGGACAGCACCCTGTGCCATCCCCTGCTGTCCCCAGCCTGACCCCCTGCCCTCCCTGGTGTCCCCCAGCTTCGGCCTGGCCCCAGCAGCCCCTCTGCAGGTGCATGCGCCTCTGGCTCCCAACCAGTCCGTGGAGATCTCCCTGCCCCTCAACACCGTGGGCTCCGTCATGAAGATGGAGCCCCTCAACAACCTCCAGGTGGGGAACACGGGGCTGTCCCCTCCTGGGGAGCTGGGGATGGGGCAGGGTCCCTTGGAGAAATCCAGAGGGAGATGTGACAGCAGGAGACAGGTGCTTGCTGCAGTGACACCTGGCTCCAGAGGGATGGGGATGGGATGGGGATGGGATGGGGATGGGGATGGGATGGGGATGGGATGGGATGGGATGGGATGGGATGGGATGGGACATTTTGGAAACCTGCTGTGGGTCGGAGGTGTTGAAATCCCCATGTCCTTCCACCCCAGGTGGCAGTGAAGAACAACATTGATGTCTTCTACTTCAGCACCCTGTACCCCCTGCACATCCTGTTCGTGGAGGATGGCAAGATGGGTGAGTGGGGTGACCATGGCTCCAGCAAGGTGTGCTCTGTCACCTGTCCCTAGGTGCCATCCCAGCCCCTGGAACCTTCTTGATCACATTGGGTGAGCCCCCAAAAGCAGGTGGCTGCCCTGAACCTGCTGGAGCGGGTGGCAGGGTGACATACCTTGGCTGCCATGTCACCTGTGTTGTGTCACCTTTGGGGGTGGCCAGTCTGGCAGCTCCCTCAGCACTGCTGTTCTCCCTCCCTGCAGAGAGGCAGACATTCCTGGCCACCTGGAAGGACATTCCCAACGAGAACGAGACCCAGTTCCAGATCAAAGACTGTTCCCTCAACGCAGGTGGGTCCCACCCCCTCGCAAGGACCTGGCTCAGGTCACACTTAACCCTGTCCCCAAGTGCCACATCCACGTGGCTGTTCAATCCCTGCAGGGTTGGGGACTCCAGCACTGCCCTGGGCAGCTGTGCCACCCTTTCCATGAAGAAATTTCCCCTAATTCCCTAATACCCAATCTAAGCCTCTTCCATGACAAGGAGGGGCAGGAGGAGGTCCAAGGGGAGCAGGGGGTCAGCCCAGCCCCTCAGCCTCTCTTTCCCATCCCAGACGCTGTGAGCAGCAAACTCCAAGGCAGCAACATCTTCACCATTGCAAAGAGGAACGTGGAGGGCCAGGACATGCTCTACCAATCCCTGAAGCTCACCAACGGCATCTGGGTGCTGGCAGAGCTCCGGATCCAGCCCAGCAACCCCAGCTTCACGGTACATCCCATCCCCTGCCTGGGGGGCACATCCCTGCTGTGGGACCTCCCCAGCTGCTGGTGGCGCTGGTGCCAGCCCCGCTGTCCCTCTCCCGTGGGGAGGGTGACACTGCTCCTGTGGGGACAGCTGAAGGACACAGAGGGCTCCCAACCCACCCAGCTCCATGAAACCCTGTCCTCGGAGCATTCCCTGAGCAGGGATCTCTCCACACCTCACCCATGAGCCATCCCGATGTCCTGCTCTCCCTGTACCCTCCCCACCTCCCTGGCAGCCTGTGGGGTGGGACCAGTTGTGTCACCCTGACGCCTCTCTCTGTGTCTCCGTCCCCGCTGCCCGCCCTCGCCGGCCTGCCCGCTCTTGCAGGATTTGGAGGTTAGAGATTGGTTTTTCCCTGGCTTTGGGCTCTCCCTGGCTGCTGCCTGGATGTTCCTCCCTCCCCCGATGTTTTGCCCTGCCCTGCCAGTCTCCTGGTGCCTCCTGCCTCTCCTCCCAACAGGGCTGGCACAAGGAGGGGGACGTTTCCAAGGGTTGGGACATCCCCATCGCCCTCCTGGTTTCACTGAGGATGAGGATAGCTGAAAATCCTTATCCCAGAGGATTCTCCATGAGCTTCCCCTGCTTGAGGAGCTAATTGATTTTGGAATGATGTTGTATTTAAGCAAACACCTGAAGAGGCTCACTCCTCTTCAGGGAGGAGGAGGAAGTTTTTGGGGAACCCTTGACCCTGGAGTGCCAGGCACTGGATCCAATCCAAAAGCTGGAGTGTTGCCCCTGCCTGTTCCCTGCCTGTGCTGCATGTGGATGGCTCTGCCCTGGGAGGGCTTGCAGGGGTTTAATAACCTTTTTCCAGCTGAAATCAGGAGCTGGACTGTCCCGTGGGAGGGTGCTGCAGCATGCAGGGCTCTGCTTTGGGGCTGGTGGCTCTCCAGCGTGGGGTGGGATGCCATGACCCCGCTCTTCCTTCTCTCCCCACAGTTATCCCTGAAATGCCGAGCACCAGAGGTGTCCCAGTACATCTACCAAGCGTATGAGACCATCCTGAAGAACTGAGGTGCTGCTGCAGCCTTTCCTCCTCCTCCTCCTCCTCCTCGCTTTCCTCCTCCTCCTCCCTTTCCTGCCTGAGGGAGCAGGGCTGGATCTGTGTGCATGTCCCCTTTCCCTCCTGCCCAGAACCCAGTCCCTGGGGTTCTCCCTCCCTCGGGGGGCTGGGGGGAGCAGAGGGGGCAGGGGGCTGTCCCCAGTCCCTGCATCCCTGCAGCAATCCGTGTGTGAGTGATGCCATGTGCTCCTCGCTGGTGCTGCTCTCTCCACATCCCAGTTTCACCCTCAGGCTCCCAAAAACCCCAGCTTCTGTTTCTGGCTCTCATGGAGTGCTGGCTGGTGGTGGGTTCAGCATTCCAGACCCTGGGAATAGCTGCTGGGGGGCCCAGAGTGCCGTGGCATTAGGTGGCTCTGGCTGCAGATCCCCCTGGAGCCCTGGGATTTGGGGCTGGAGCAGGTGGGAAACAGCTTTGGCTCTCCCTGATACTGTGCCCTGGTTCAGCAGAACCTCACCTGTGGGTGAGCCCTTCCCAGAGGATCTCCTCTCCATGGGAGCCCTTCCCAAAGCTCCCAGAAGGGCCTGAGGATCCCACATTTGAGGCTGTACTTAAGGTGCAGGTTAAAAAGGGCTTTTCCAGCCCCCTCCAGCCCCTGCCATGGGCCAGGAGGGCTCTGAGCATCCCCTCTCCCCCTGCCCAGCCCCACAGCTCCCTCTGCTCCCCTGGGGCTCCCACTGCTCCTTCCCCCACAAATCAAGCCATGGGTCCCCCCACCTCGAAGCAGGAAATCTCTAATATATGAAAGATAAATATATTGTAATGTTCACTGGTTTGAAGGGAATGTTGAATAAAGGTGACACCGACCCTTGGGGACACTGCTGGGGTGGCCATGGCCCCGGTGACCCCGAGGGAAGCAGGATCCTGGGAGCTTCCTGCCAGCACTGCAGGGCCAGATAAGCCCTCCCTGGGGCCAGTGTCCCCGTGGCCTCTGGCACAGCAAGGCCTGACACAGCAGATGGGCAGGGCTGGGCTTGGGACCAGACACACGGGGCCAGTCACCCCCTGGGGACAGGATGGGCCTGGGGAGCTCGTGGCTCTGCTCCTGGAGCCTCTCAGGGATCCACCAAGGCCAAGGTGGCCCTGCACTGTCCATGGTGTCCAGTCTGGGTGCCCTGAGCCCCTCCTGGGGTTGGGGACAAGCGTGGGGTCCCCGGAGGTGCTGCTGGTCCTTTGTGGGGTCGGTGATGAGCAGCACCACCAAGTCCTGCTTTGGGACACCCCACGGGCCACCAGCACCACTCTGGCACTGCCAGAGCACGTGTCCAGGGACCACAGTGGACACTCTGCTTTGGAACCCCCAAAGTCACAGCAAGGTGGTCACCACCTGCAGCTCTGGACCCTCCTGGTGACCCACAACCTGCTGTGTCCCCCTGGGCCAGCAGCCCTGAGTGAAGGTCCCTGGCTGTGGGGCACTTGGGGCTCCAGGGACACTTCTGGAAGGGTCCCAGTGGCTGTAAAAGAGTACAGGACACTGGGACTCAGCCTCAGCCCAGCTCTTCACTGCTCCCACCCCTGCTAGGACCCCCAGAGCCTCCCTCCCTCGGGCCTGGGGGTCTGAATCCCCCTGGACAGATGACCAGACAGGTGGGCTCAGCTCCGTTGGTCTTTACTGGCTGGAGAGGACATGCAGGGGTGGGGCCTCGGTGGCCTGGGCTGGGGGCACAGCCCTGTCCCACCCTGGGGACATGAACACGAGCTGTGGGCAGTGCTGTGGCCAGCTGGGGGCTGGAGAGAGAAGAGTGACCCACTCCTGCCCTGAAACAGGGCTTGTGGTGACAAACTGCATGTCCCCAAGTCATCTCAGGGCTGGAGAGGAGAGGAGAAAGTGGCCAAGGAGGTGATGATGAGGCCTAGAAGAAAAGAGGGGAAGGTCAAGAAGAGAAGATGATGAGGGGAAAGGACGTGAGGGCCAAGAGGAGGAGAGAAGACAAGAGGAGGAGGCAGCCCAAAAGAAGAGAGGAGAGGATGAGAGGAGGAGGAGGAGGATGACAAGAATAGCAAGAAAGGGAGAAGACAAGAAGAGAAGGTCAAGATAAGGAAAACAAGTGGAGAAGAGTGAGGAAATGAAGAGACCAGGAAAAGAACTGGGTGCTCTCCAGCCCCATTCCCAGCTCTGCTCTGGCCACCACTGCCCTGACCACACGACTGCCCCCCCTGTGGAGCTGCTCCCCATGGCATGGGGACACCCCTGGCACCCTTTGGGGCTGGGGGCTCCTTGCCAGGCCCACCCCAATGCCAACAGTCACCGAGTGAAGAGGTCCTGGCCACCCCAGCTCTGTGGCCATCGCCTGGCCGGGTGCCACCTCCACCCTCCCCAGCAGCTCGGGGATGTCCCCAGGGGCTGCCAGGAGCTGCCATGGCCATCGACCCCTCATGGCCACGCTTTCTCCTCCAGCCCCTCGCGCTCCCGCGGGGCCCAGGGGGGCTCCAGGAGGGAGGAGGGGATGCTCTGCAGAGCCCCCCAGGCCCTGGGGCTGCCGTTCGGGGCCCGGTGGGCGCCTGCCCCGTAGCCCCGGGGCGTGGGGATCCGGGAGGGCGTCTTGTGGGGCTGCGTGTCCAGCCGGGGCTTGGCCCAGGGCCGCGGCGGGGGCGCGGGGACCCCCAGCTTGGGGCTCTCCTCCATCTCCATCAGCTCGTCCTCCCCGGTGGCCCAGTCGGTGTCGGAGCCGGGGTTCCCCGGGGTCTCCCGGTTGTCCCAGGAGGCCGGGAAGCAGCAGCTCTCGTCGGAGGAGCTGGAGAAGGTGGAGCGGCGCCTGGCGTCTGCCAGGGTGGGGTTGGACGGCAGCGGGGGGCACACGCCGTTGTTCCCGTTGTTGTTCCCGTTGTTGTTCCCATCGCTGCTCCCGCCCCGCCGCCCGTCCTCGGCGGGCAGCCCGTGCTTGGCGAAGACGTTCAGGGAGGAAGACGAGGATGACGAGGAGCAATAGGCCGAGTCGGCGGTGGCGGGGGGCGCGGGGGGGGGGATCTCCGTGTCCCCCAGCTGCTCCAGCAGCCGCGTGTTGGCCAAGAATTCCTCCTCCAGCCGCTGGAACAGCCGCTGCTCCTGCCCGGGCTCCAGCCAGCGCGGGGCCCGCAGCCTCCGCGCCAGCTCCTCGGGGTCCCCGGGGCCGGGCCGGGGGTCGCGCCGCCCGCCGGGGCCTCCCCTTGATACCCCCCTTGCACCCTCCTCGTGGAACCCCCACAGTGCCCCCCCACTGCACCCCTCCCCATCGAACCCTGCCCATTCTCCCCCATGGCACCCCACACTCCTTCCACTGTACCCCATTTCCCTCCCCACTGCACCCGTTCGTTCTTCCCCCTTTACCCCCGTTCCTCCTCACTGCACCGCACATTCCCCCCCCCATCCCCATTTCCATCCTCACTGCACCCCCGCCGAACCCCACATTCCCACTATTGAACCCCATTTCCCTTCCCCTTGCTCCCCCATTAACCCCCATTCTCCCCCTTCACTGCCCATTCCTCTTCACTGCACCCCCCAGAACCCCATTTCCCTCCCCACTGTCCCACATTTTCCTCCTCCATTAAATCCCCACTGAATCCTCCTATTCCCCACTCATTCTCCCCCTTCTTCCCCCTCAGCCCCACACACTGCACCCCATATTCCCTCCACTGCACCACATTTCCCCCCACTGCACACCCACTGCCTCCCTGCTCTGAACTCCCCCGTGGCACCCCACATTCCCCCCCACTGCCAATCCCATCCCACTCCATTTCACACCCCACTGGACCCCCATTTCCCCTATTGCCCTTTCATTCCATTCCCCCTTGTTCCCCCACTGCACCCCAGTGAACCCCTATTGCCCCTCGCTGTCCCTCCATTGAACCCCCACGAAATCCCACATCCCCCACTGCACACCCCATTTCCCCCTTGTAGCCCCCCTTCCCTCCCCCTGCTGCCTCCCACTATTCCCCTCCATTGATCCCCCAATGCTTTCCCCATTTACCCCC